CCACCTTTCCACCCACCAGCCCCCCCAAGCCCCTCTCGGCAGGGCTGCTCTCGATCCTTTCTCCCCCCAGCCTGTACTGAAAACCCAGCTGGCCTCGGAAAGGACTACGGAAGTAGTGAAGCGAAGCCAGGCTTTTGGGGTTGGGTTCACGGGTGCTGCCTTGGTTCTGGGCTAGAACAGCAAGCCTGTGAAAGGTAACGCTTGTTTTTGCAACAGGACATCACAGCAGAGCTGTGAGACAGTTTCACACGCTTTAACAGCCCTGTGCTGAGGCTGGAGCGCTTATCTTCTTGTAAGGCAAAAACGCGTTCAAAGCAGCAACAGAGCCTTTTGACGGGCAGCTCTAAGACATTTTCTATGAACTGTAGAAGATTTTACATACTGGCAACTCCAAAGAGAAAGGTAGCTCAAAGTAGTTTGAGATAGAATTTTTTTCTCCTTTGTTTACTATGTACACTTAGTAAATTAGACTTACTGTTAGTACCAGTCTCTCCTGTTTTAGGACGATACGTGGCACACTTGTAGGGGATTCCTTGGAAATCCCACTGCAGATAACCAGGAAATCATCCCCCAAGCTGTGACACCGTCAGCCTGACCTGTGTTTTCCAGTATGCTACACAAAACAGTCACAGACCTTCAGAGATGAAATCAGTTAAATTAGCCCATGCCTGGTTATAAATCTCTCAACAGAGCAGTGGGGAACAAGGTGAGCAACTCATTTATCTGCTAATGGGAACTGTGAGCCAAATTTCCCGACCACGGTGCCAAAACAGCAGGAGGGGCAGAAGACATCTGCAACTGAAGCTCATGCTGCTTCTGCTGGATATTCTTGGGCAGGGCAGTGGAGGTAGAACATGATTTTGAGTAAGGAAACGTGATCTCAGACACAAGGCATTAAGCTTTTTAACACACTTTTTGACCCAGCAAGTAATTAATTTTTGTAACACATAATTTTAATGTTACACTAATTAACCTTGGATTAGAATGAATTTTCTGACAATTACTTTCTATGGAAGCACTGATGACATCCATGGACCATTTAATGATTAATGTTCTTGCACTCAACCCCAGTATCAACTTTAATTCATGTTTAGCATCCTTAATTCATCTCTGGACTTGTAATTACTTAAGACTTAGGATTTCAGTTGGACAAATACCAACTTTTTTTTTGTGCCACGGATGTTTACTTCAAAAGAAAGAAGCACTATCTGCAATATGCACAACAGCAATAAATACTTCAACAGATTTCAGTTTCTTTATATACGTGTAGAGGAGTAATACTGCAATTACACAAGTGGAATTATTGTGCAATTACACAAAAAAATAAAGGCATTTCTATGCTTTATATCAAAATTCAGGTTACAGGTTAGTGGCCATAATACGTTGGTTTGCATTTGCCTCTGGACAAGCAGAACCTCATCTTACTGATGCTCAACTTGGCAGAGACCAATAAAGGAAAACCAACAGTTTGGGAGAGACAGTGCTGCCAGTTCTGTCAGCTCAGGGGTACTGCAGCACTGTGCAACTGGTGCCTTCCCATGACACTGGAAGGCTGGTTCTGCTGCAAATGTTGCCTTTTGAACAAGACAAGAAACTGAAGCCTGATCATCTATAGTCATTAAAAATCTCCTTGTGCTATTTGCAGGAGTATGGATTTCAAGTCTTGGGCCAATTCCACTTTGGGTAATTACACTCTGCTTACCTATATATTTTCTCTGCAATTCTAAATGGATACAATATTTTCCAATTAGTGCCTTAAATGGCTCTGCATTGTAATTGTGCACTATTAAAAAGTTAGCACGTTCCACCCAAGAAATGTCTGCATCCTTGCAGCATGCTACGCCGTAAATGCACAGTGTAAGGGACTTTGGAGACCTTCTGGGCACGAGCACGCTATTTGATATGGAAGTAAAAACACCTGCAGAAGAATCTCAACCGACTAACTGTATAACAAAAAACATTACTAAGAAACTTGTATTTAAAACAAGATAATATTCACTACTGTTTGCATAGTATCAGGCAAATCAGAACGCTCGGGAGTTCTAGCTAATGTACTTAGGCAGCTATACAGCTGCAAATTCCGCTTGTTTCTCATATCTTCCTGAAAACAAACCTTAGCGGTAAGACAAACTTAAGCTGAATGTACAATCCAACTCTTTGTATAGCGTGGATATTACCTATGCACATTGAAAAATTCTTTAGTCCGCACAGCTGCTGCTTTATATCAGCATGTTTGTAGGTTTAAATAACATGGCAGAAATCTCACGAGCCACAGATTGAGCTTCCCCAAAACACTTCCCATATGACTATTTCATTAAGCAGCGAGAGACTCAAAGCAACGTGAATGATTTTGTATAGGAAAGCACTGCAGCAGCGAGGTCTTGAGTAAAGGCAATCAAACATCAAGGTACTCTCTCCATGCAATTCAAACACAACAGTTGTTGCAGAAGTTACTTGAGAGGATGCATTTTCCCCTGCCTTTGAAGTATTTAATAAAAAAAGCATAAAAATAGCCCCAGTGCACTAACCCTGCCTCTTAAATCTTCTGTGCTTTGCTTGGATAACTGCTGCCAGCTTGGCCAGCTTCTGCAGCAGTTTCTCAAGCCAACAGCACATCAATTTTGCTCAGCTCCAAGTCACAGGGTGTTCACAAACAAAGCACAGGACAGGGATTTGTCTCAGATATACGGAGTCTCAGCAGACAAACGGATGGGAATGATTTTCACATCAATTAGCCAGTGCAGAGAAAGAGGAGAACAAAGCCAAACTGAATGGATGTGCTACAATATTAAGCTATACTTCTAGGCACGATGTTTGCAGCTGTAATGGCTGTATAGCCATGAGAGCCACTCTAACTTGTGGCAAGCATTTTATTACCGGTAATTAAGAAGAGATATATATAGAAAGGCTGCATTCCCCCATGACAGCAAAATGGGTGAATGGAAGGGCTGTTGTTGCAATTATACAGGTAAACTTCAGATTTGATTTGGAAGTCAATCACTTTCAGAGCTCTGAGCCATTTGAGGAAGTTTTTCTAATGGGAGCAAGCCTGTAAATCCAGAAGCATGTGATCCTTCTTCAAACCCATTTTTTTCCCCTGCCCTTTCCTTGGCAAGCTGGCACCAATTTGGCACTTGCTGTCTCAAAAGCATGAGGATCGGGGACTAAGCGAACATCATTTCAGATGCCTTTCATTAGAGTTTTGGCAAGGGCTTAAACACTGCACACAGGTAACATGTTTGTTTACTGGGATTTCTCTGACAATTAAAAAAAAAAATCTCTATCTACAACCTCCACAGCCCTTGGCATAAATTACAAAAGCAACTCATCTATGCCTTTGAGCAGCTTCTGGTTTGTTAGAAGTTGAAGAAATACTGTTCTCAAAAAGGCAGCAAGCAATCCACACCAGCAGGATGTGCCTTGGTGGCTTCACAGCCACAGTCCATTTCTTATTTCATTAGTCGTGCTGACATATGCAAGAGAAACGGGTTGTTTTAGGCTGTGCTACTTCTAAGTGAATGCAAGCTATTCTGTTGAACTCTGGGCAATTTAGATACAGTAAATGGAAGCTTGTACATGATCACTGTCATTAGATTCTTGTTTAATTCTAAATTGAAGTTTATTATATCCAAACTGTTAGCAGGTACTCTGGCTTGAATGCTGTACATGAAGATCTTTATTTCTTGTGGGGAGAAGACCAGTTATGCTTTGAAAGCTGCCAAGTGCATCTATCTAAACCCTGGAGACCTCTATTACCCTTTCTGAAATCCTTTTGCTTCGAGTAAGTTGGCTTGTCCCCATTTTACATTTTTATTTGTGATCGCTTTTCTCCTTTAGCTAACTTATATCAGGTTTGCACAAAATGAGGGGATACAATTAGGCACAGTACTAACGCATCACACGGAAATAAAACCTAACCACCTTACAACCTCAGTCAAGTCTTTATTGCATGAGGAAAGGCTGAGCCTAGCCTCTTGGCAGTTTAGCACAAGACTATTCAGTGCTTCAGTAGATTTTGTTCCGTAACAAGTTAACTCTTTGTATATACCCCTGCTGCCATTTTAAATTTATATGCATTTAAATCAAAGGATTGACAGCATGAGTTACATTCAGAGGGCCAGGAGAGGCATCTTTTGGATATGGCAGGATATATTTATACAGTAACACTAAAATACTTAATAAAAATGACAAGATTGCATACACTTCACTCTACCAAAGGCTCAGTCTAAAATGGGTTCTAAAACTTCAATCAACCTGCATGATATTGGAAAATAAGCTTCCCTCCAGATTGTGAAGTACACCTTTGGTTACTGAACAACATTAGCAATGGTTTCAGCTCCTTAACACAACATGAAATAACTATTTCTTTCAGATTTTTATTTTTGGTATGCTAATTTTTTTTTTTTTTGGACCAGTTAAGAGTCAAGCCTAAGGAAGCCAGCACTTGCCAAAAAAAAGAAAAAAAAAAGTTCTTAACTTCCCTGTTTGAGCATTTGCTGGGGTAAGCCAAAATCACTGAGGCCGGGAGAATTTCATCTATGGAGGAATTTTGCACCAGTGGGAATCTTTCCACAAGCCTTTCACAGGCAGGCAGGGTTTACAGCGTCCTACCTGTGCCGAAGCAATTCCATACTCTGCAATGGTCACGTGCTAATACCCATCAGTTCTGAAACAGGTCTTCTCTTACATCAGAGACTCGTAGATAATTCCCAAAGAGAATGTCACCTGGCAGTTTTCAGATCTGGCTCTAAGCATTTACGTTGCTAGAGCGCAAAAATGTTTCAGCCATCTTTCACCAAGTATTTTGATTTTTTTTTTAAAAACCCCCAAATTTCTTTGGCTGAAAACAAGCACTTTTGTTGCTCGAACACAAAGGGAGAGATGAGCTTCTTTACCCTGCTAACTGTGAAAGAGCAACTTGCCAGTGGAAAATAAGCAATGCTAACATGATGTTGTTACACATTTTCTGCAAGGGTGTGATCCCCAAAATGAGCTTTTATTAATGAAAGGACTCCAGCTGTGTTCTGTGGGGTTGCCCTGGACATGTACTTCTGTAACCTGTGATCGGCAGAAGGAGGGACGGAGCTCAGAAATGGCGCTGTTGCAGTGACTGTGTGGCACATGACAGTTTCAGTTCATTGAATTTATGATGTGAAATTCCAACCCTGATTGTGAACACCCTCCCTCCTCTCCTCTGAAAATTAATTCACATGAATTCCTGATTAATAATAAAAGGCTCTGCCATCAGCATTCAGAGCCCCAGCCGGGGCTGTCATGGCTCAGAGGGCAGAAATCTGCTTAGAGCTACAGGAGAACCCAACTGAATTTGTGGCGTCTCAGTCTATGAATGTGTAAGCACTTCATCTGTTCACCAAAACACAATGTGCTGGAAAGCAGTGGGCAAAAGTAGCTCTGCATACGATGTACCACGAGCAGGGCTAGGTGGCAGTATGCAAGCATTGAAACCAAGGCAACAAAGCTGGTACTGCTACATTTCCTGAAGGATGAACTGTCCACAGCAGGTGCGTACTTTTACCAAGAAAAGGATCAAGCCAATTCGCAATTTTCGCACTTATCTTTTCTTTGAGGTTTCTGGCAATGCCTGTATTATCTCCCTACGGGGAAATGCTGTTTTGAGTCTGATGAGCAGAGAAAGACTGGATGATGTCACTGGTTTTAGGAAGCTGGAAAGCCAATGTCACTCATGCGCCCTCCACCTGGTAACAATGAAAACCTGATGGCGTGGCAGAAACCCTACCTCACCCGTGAACAGAGTTCATTGGTCAAAAAAGCCATTTCCCTCACTTCTTACTTCTGTTTGACCACATTTAGTGTACAAGGTGAGGAAAGGGGGAGTATTCAGAAGGCCTTATTCCGCAAGTAGCTGCTGGTGTTGCTAAAAATAACACAAAGTGAGTTTCTGATATGCTAGAGCAACACAGTTAGTACAACACTACCAGAAATCCAGTGGAAAGCTATTTTCAAATAGATTATTCCTATCTCAATGAGCAAGTGTTTGTCCAACTGTTGTAGTACCTTGTTATAACAATTCTAACTAGGGAATTTTGAAAAGGAGTAGCACTGAATTAATACACCAAACAGTTCAAAGATTGATGATTTTTATCTTTTCCTCCATACCTCCTCATCTGTGACATTCACATCCACTTTTTTTGATCGAATGGCTTTGGTTACATAGTCAATGTTGTTTTCTCTGCAGTAATCAAAAATGTTCTTGTCCTCTTCCCTATTCAGGAAACAAAAGCAAAAGAAGCACGGTGTTACTGCACAACACAAAAGGCCACATGCACATCATATGCTCTAACTTTGCTATAGACATTTCAACAGTATCACTGGACTGAAACAGACACCTAGTATTGCACATGAAGAATATGTTTTTTTCCCCCCAAGGTAAGAGACAGAAAATCCTGCCTTCCTAGAAAACAAAGCTTGTTTTTAACAATATTATGCCAGGGCAAAAGTCAGCTTACTCCTGTGAACTGGCACTAGAAGTCTATATAGTTAGCCAGCAAAAACCACATTCAAGTCCTGGTATAAATCACTGCAATCCCACATAAGATAAAAGGCTAAAACTGCTCTTCTCCCTCCCATACAAACTTGTAACAGCCACTCTGGGTCACACCAAAGGCCCTTCCGATGCCATCCGTCTCAGACAGTGGCCACTAACAGTGCCTTGGAGAAAAAAAAAGCAGAAGAAACAGGACACATGCAAAGCAATCTGTCCCTGGTTAGATCCTCCCAACTTCAGAAACTCAGTGGCTTAAGGAGTTCTGTAGCTAGAGGCTGCATCCAGATGAGCGTATTGATCAGTCTTTTCCAGGTCCTTTTTCCACTCTATTCTGTTCTTTAACCCATTCATACTCTTGGCCTCTCTAAAGGACAAGCTCTACAACTTACTATTCTGTGTGTGAAAGGGTCAACAGTAGGCAAGTACTTTATTTGGTGGCTTTAAAACAGGTGCCTGACATTATTGGGCACTCTTTGATAAGCAATTGCTCAGGGATTTATGAAATCTTTGGCATTTGTCTTAGAATCTGTCACAGAGTTTGTTTGGTTTTATTTCTTCGTTTACCAGCCTGCAAGCGACCTCATTGCACTCCTTTTTGTATTGATGGTGTTAAGACAAAGACTGACCATGTTGTCCGCTCAGAGCAGCAGGCTGGTGTATGCAGAGGCACCAGCACGCGTCTGTGCCAGGACACCGGTGCGTGCTCGCTTAGGCCTGCCTGCAGGCAGAAAGATCAACAAGTTGTCATGTCACAGGTGCTTGAGTTACACCTACAGCTTCTTCTAAGAGCTAAAAGCAGTGCCCTGGCTTCAGACACCTTAAAGCTTCTGTTCCTACCAGCCAACCAAACAGAACCTCTAACAAAGTTAAAGACATTTCACAGACTCTTAAAACATTAGGAAAGAGCTTTGTATGAGTAACTGGAGCTACAACACAGTTAAAAAAGCAAGTGTTAGGAATCTTTAGCAAAGGGACAGAGCAGAACAAAGACATTTTTATCTTGCTGTATTAATCTGCACTCATGTGTCTAATGATGGGAAGTTACTGACACCAGTATTGCTGAGAAAGTACAACTCTCCTACCATCCATGCTGGTATACCAGTGGAAAGTTACTTATTCCAACACAGCTGGTTTTTCTATGGGAAGGGGGCTATGCCATGCTAGCATGACGCACCTTTACAATAATACCATTAAGGTATAGATACACTGATATAACTGTGTTCCTAGTGAGGACTAAAGAAAAAGAGGTCATTGGTTTTCTAGAAGTAAGCCAAAAGCCCACATACCACCCTCTCTTTCTAGTTTCCAGATGAAAATCATGGCTCAGAGGAACCCATCAGTGTTGCTATGGGACTCAGCAGCTTCACAAGAGTTAAACGCATTGTAGTTGCCTCTCATGACAGCCTCAGTTTTCAAAGATCTCAAGATAGTCTGGATGCTCAGCAGAACTCAGATCTAGCAGCTTCAAAGGAAATTCCTCACAGAGCTGGGAGGTTGCTGGAGCAGATCAGACCCACCAGGGAAGTCATTCTGCTGTGGGCCTTTCAGGCAGGAGAGAACAGCCTCTGCAGTGCCACAGGGCAGTTTGAGGAGAACCAATTCCCTGGTGCTAAAAGGCAACAGTACTCCTCCCATTCATCTGCACTGCACTTGAACCTCAAAGGCTGAAGAACGTCAGAGCAAGGAAAAGGAAAATCTAGATGTTGTGTTTGAGCAATGGGTTACAAAGAAAAAGTGATGCTCTTTGACCTGTTGTCACAACAAAAATGAAAATACCAATGTCAGCAAGACCATGTACCCTGCTCCCATCAGGACAGGCAGAGCTCCATGATACAACTTTGACTTCCAGTCTTCTTATTACACACCTGGCTTATTAACTTACATTCTGTTCTTCAGACCTCAAGCATCTGTTTCCTTCCTCGGTGCCAGTAAAAGGTGGGGGGAAAAAAGTGCTGATATTCAGCTCCTGCAGTAAACCGCTGCTTTCTGCAAAGAAGTCACTTCCTCTGACCTCTCTTATGTTGCTCCTAGCACCGTTCTCCTGCACATCACCCCTACTCCTTGTGCACAAGCGCTCCTTCCTCATAGCTGACTTGCACCTTTCTAGCAAAGAGCCGAGTGCTGCACAAGATTTCACACAACGTGCATAGGCCTAGGAACACAACAGAAGTCTTCGAGTTTCTTAACCAGTTTCTCATGAACTCATTCGCTGGAGGTCTTGTCTGTACACAGCACAAGCTCCTGGGAAACAGATCACTGCATGCTTTAGAGGCAATTACTTTGAATTCTGGGGAAAAAAGAATCTCATGGTGGGATTAGAAAAGGCAAAAGCTTATATTGCTCAAGATGGAGCTTGACAGATTCATGATGGAGGTTATGAAACATGCCTGCTCCCACTAACAAGGGCTGATTTGATATGCTGGGAAGTCCCTCCAGTCCTACCTTGTTAGTCCAACCTCTCAAACACACCCTTGGCTGCCAAAAGCAGCCTTTTGGGCAAAACTGCTATTCAGACAACACTGTACAGCAACTTGGTTCCAGCAGCTTTTTCCCCATCGCATAGCCACACATGCTTCATTAATTACAGATCACTTCCTTCCCTAACACCAAAGCAGAGCCCACTCTCTCCCTGCTGGGGAAGTCCACAACCATCCTCAGCTGCTCCTGGATGATTTTCCATGTCACAACCATGAGCTTGGGCCGTGCCCTCCATCCCTGGCAGTGATGCCACCCAGTCAGCCTGGGTGCCGGCATTTCTGCATGCCGCAGAGCCTGGGCAGCTCAGCCGTGGCCATACCTCACATGGCAGCACCAGAGCAGCGGGGACGCGGCAGCGTACGAGCAACCGTGATCCATGGGGAGCGTGCTGCAGGGTCTGCACCAGTGGAGAGAGGGCACATCAATACTGACGTAGCAAAATCAGGCAATCTTCCTACCACAGCCTCCAGACAAGACTTCTACAGTCTTTTCCTGAGGACGTTATTGTCTGTAAGGGGGAAATGACCTGACACAGCTATCTGGATATGATTTAGCTTTTCTGCAAATGCTCTATATATACCCCTTCCAAAAAACCACTTTTCTTTCAGAAGTCTCCACAATGGAATTAATCCAGAATAGCAATTTCCCCACCTGAAGATAAGGTTTTGGGAAATTTCGTCTTTCTATTCTGCATTTATTTCTCAAGCTTTAAACCATTCCTCTGCCCCGATGACCCCTTTAAAAAAAATTAGCATATATTATCTCCAACTTTTCTATAAATATTAACAAAGGGAAACAAGCCCTTTCCTGGATAGATTTGAGGCTCTAGAGTTGTAGCAAAGACATTCTATCAGCAAACAAAATAGTCACACGAAGCTGCACTCCAGACATTAAAAACGGTTTGATCTAGTTGCATGCCAAAAGCAGGAAGGGAAACTAAGAAAAGAGCTCAAAGGAATTAAAACCAGATTTTTGGAGGAACCAATACTAGGGAAAAAACTCCACCAGAATGGTGTGAATGGAATAAAGACAAGTTACTGTTATTTGCTGACTTTGCATTGAAAACCACACAGGACAAGTAAGAAACACAGCTTGAAAACCCTGCAACTCAGTTTCCCCCTTGCCCCTTTATTTCACGTGTGTACGCGTATGTACTGAATAATCTCTCCACTGTAGCAGCTACAAGAAAATAAAAAGGATGCGATGTTTTTATCAGACTGGTTCCTAGAAGGAATTTGCACTCCACATAAAACTGGTAAGAGTCAGCAGCAAGGCCCAGAAACTGGTAGAAACAGTCTAAAATGAGACAGCAGCACATCAGAAATACGAAAATAAGTGACACTGCAAAGACATTGCTCAGATAATGTTGGGGGTGGAGGGTTGAGAGGAGCAGGAATCCATAACATTTCCATCTGTATTTTCAGAAAAATCTCAATTTAAGTAAAAATACAGCATCTTCAGATGGAGAAGACCATGAAACTCAACCTAACGGACAAGTGCACAATTATTTAAAACCTGTAGCTAAAAGGAAAACTCAGATGCAATTTTGTTTCCCTGCCAGATTGTGTGATACACAAGCACCGTCTCTTTTTGTTGAGCTAAAAAGGAGCCTTCAAGTCAGTGACCACTTGGCTGTCAGTAAAGGCAGTGAATGCGTTCACATCTATTTCCTGAGGATGGCCACAAGGGTTTCTCTTCTCCCTTGCTGACACATGTTCAGCCCCCAAAGCTCTTCTGCTCTCCCCCGTCCCCAGTAAGAGATGCTAACTATGATTCAATGTCGAGCTGAGCCATATCTGTCGCCTGCAGGTAACACATGGGCAGGTTTTTCCATCCTTGAATAAAAGGATGTGGAAGGATTGAAACCAAGCCATCTCTTCCCAGGCTTCGAAGGCTTCAACAAGCCTTCTTCATAAGCTGCCCAAAACACACGTGTTGAGCCAACAGTTTTTAAGCAGCTCGTGGAAAAGATCTGCTGCTGGTTAAATTCAGGCTTCACTTCCTTCTCACCTTGAGTACCGTAAACCTCCTTGCTTTCTAAACAGCCACCAAGACTGCCATGAAAAAGGACACAGAAGAGACTTGAAATTCAGATATTCTACCCTCACGCAGAGACCATCCTCCAGGTTTGCCCCGGCCCCTTCCTCCCCCCTCGCAGGTTACCTCCAGCACAAAGCTCTGGGCAGAGGGCTGTGATCGGGTGCTACTTTGGGTGTCCTCTCCCCTTTTCCCAGGGCTGG